ATCTATCTATCTATCTATCTATCTATCTATCTATCTATCTATCTATCAGCTGTGATGGTGCAGTGGAATGCAATATTGCAGGCTAACTCTGCTGATTGCCAGCAGTTCGATTCTCACTAGGCTCAAGGTTGACTCAGCCTTCTATCTTTCTTAATTTGGTAAAACGAGGACCCAGATTGTTAGGGAAAATAGGCTGACTCTGTAAACCACTTAGAGAGGCCTATAAAGCACTGTGAAGTCTTGCTATTGCTCTATCTATCTATCTATCTATCTATCTAATTTGTATATCTATCTAAGAGCTGTGGTGGCTCGGTGGTTAGAATGAGGTATTGCAGGCTAATTCTGCCCACTGTCAGCAGTTCACTTCTGACCAGTTCAAGGCTGACTCAGCCTTCCATTCTTCCGAGGTGGGTCAAATGAGGACCCAGATTGTTGGGGGCAAGAGGCTGACTCTGTAAACTGCTTAGAGAGGCCTGTAGAGTGCTATAAAGCGGTATATAAGTGTAAGGGCTATTGTTATTGGTGGGAGCAGAAAAAATCTTTCTCCCCAACTTTTCAGCAGCACTTCAAAAAGCTGAGCATCACATCCAGATGTTTGTCTTACAGACATTGCTTTAAACCCTTGGCAGACTCTCCCTGTGATTCTGGGTCGATCTTGATCTGGACTCTTGATTGTGGGCCAGGAGATTAGGGCTGTCATTGTGTCTGCTTGTTGGCATTCATTAGTAGCAAAAGAGAGAAGAGCATTGTGCAGCTCCATTCCACACACACTGGCTGGTCACTAAGGGGATTTGAGGCCAAGTCATTGTGAAACTAGATCCCTGGGCTGCATCTTGGATGGAAGTGAGTCTGGCAGGGTTGATGCTCCTCCCCGCTTCCAGCTTCTCAGCTTAGACAACAGGATGAAAAATAGTTGCCTCAGTCAGATCATCTGCGAGGGAGACACAGACCACCACTCTTGCCAACTGGGTCTCAGATGTTGCTTCAATTGGCAGCATTTTGAAGGAGTCCTTTGGTTGACCTTCTCGCTGTGAAGTATTAATTAGATGCCTGTTTTGAGTTCATGAATACTTCCTCCCCTTTTTGTTCTTCAGGGTTTGCTCTATCAGTTGGTCTGCTGAAAGTCAAACTGTTTGCTTTCTGGAGTCATCACCATCATTTAACGACCCCATAATCTCTTGTGGGGTGGAGTCTGGGCAACTGAATGGAGCAAGCAGAATGTTTAATGGCCTTTCCTGTCGCCAATACAGAGCTTTGTTTAGCAGATACGTTCTCATTGTGCTCCGAGAGAGAAATATCTGCCTCTACCTAAGATTGAACTCACAGCCTCCTGATTGTGAGGCGGGAGCTCCGCTTTCGTTTGCTTTCTGGTATGGTCAGGCAGTAATGAGTGGCTGGACCTCAAGTCTTGAGCAAATGGCTTGAGGAGAGTTCAAAAGAGGCCAAGAGGCCAAGAGGCCTTCATTTTAACGAGAAGGATCTTTACATAGTCAAATTGAGCAGAATCCAGTGCCTGACCCTTTCCCTGCTAAGATATTTATGCTGCAAAGATCTACAAGGTTCCTGTGATGCCCAAAAGCCTTTATTCATGTGAAGGTTTAACAAACAGCTTTATTAAGTAGGTCACCAAATCTGGCTCTTCCTGCAGCTTTGAGCCTCAGAGTTGATCTGGGAACCCACCCAATCCTACGTAGCTTTTTCTCTGGTAATATCACACTACTAACCAGAGCATACAAAACATTTGCTAGACCAATACTCGAATACAGTTCATCAGTCTGGAACCCACATTACGTATCTGATATTAGCACAATTGAGAAAGTCCAGAAATATTTCACAAGAAGAGTTCTCCACTCCTCTACTCGTTGTAGAATACCTTATGCCACCAGACTTGAAATTCTAGAACTAGAAAACCTTGAAGTACGCCGTCTTCGGTCTGATTTAAGCATGGTATATAAAATCATACATTGCAATGTCCTACCTGTCAATGAATACTTCAGCTTCAACCATAACAACACAAGAGCACACAATAGATACAAACTCAAAGTTAACCGCACCAAACTTGATTGCAGGAAATACGACTTCAGCAATAGAGTGGTCAATGTCTGGAATACTCTACCCGACTCTGTAGTTTCTTCCCCAAACCCCAAAAACTTTAACCTTAGACTATTGACCTCACCCCTTTCCTAAGAGGTCTGTAGGGGGCGTGCATAAGCGCACCAACGTGTCTACCGTCCCTGTCCTATTGTTTCTCTTATTCTTTTATTTTTCTTATATGTACCCATTTCATGTATTCACAACTATGTATACACTTATACTTATTATCTTGTAAACAATTGGCAAATCAAATAAAAATAAATAAATAAATAAATAAATAAATAAATAAATAATTGGGGAGGTTTCCTCTTCCCCCTAGTCAGCTTGGCCAAGAGACCCATGGAAGAATGGAAAGCCCTATCCAGTTTCTCAGTGATGGCAAATAATTCTTGGAAAGTTTAAAGTCATGATTTTAGCTGTTAATTGGCTCTGGCTCGTCATCAAGTTGGCATAATTTGATCTAACAGAAGGCTGTTCAGAAATAGATCATTTATTTATAAGATTTTTTTTTAAGGCTGCCCATCTCAAGAGCAGCTTTATTTAAAAATCAAATCTAGAATATATTAAATCAAAGCTAGAATATATTAAATCAAATGGGGAAATCAAGCACATCCTCTTTACACCTCCCCCTTTTTTGGCAAACACATAATTTCAGTCTCAGTTGTGTTTTAATACACATCTTGTGTAGATTTCCTAGGTGCCCTTCAGTCCCATCACAATATATAGTTATTGTCAGTGTTCCGAGTAATGCACCCGAGGCAGGTAGATTCCTCAAAGGATATGTTTATTGGATACATCATATCGGCACAGCTGGTGAAAACCCTTAACAGTTCCCGTGGTTTTCACCTGATTAAAAGAATCAAACTACTCCCTCCCAAGAAGCCAGGCTCTTCTCCACTTTCAGTGGCCACCTGTTTCAGTGACCTTGGTTCCCACAAGAAAGTGTTTTGTTTTGACTGGAGCCTGGCTATCTACTTCCTCCCTCCCTTCCCCTTCTCTGGCTTTGTGGCAACTATGAGGCAGCACATGATGGCTTCAGCCACGTTTGCTTCAGTGTCGACAGCTATATCGTGGTAACTGCATTGCAAGGTTCAACTCAGATCCTGGCAAACTCTTAATATCTTTTTGTGCTTGTTCACACAGTGAAAAAAATCTAGTGGTGTGATAGATTTTGAAAAAGAGCAATAACAAAAGAGCAATTTTTAAAATAACTGTTGAAAGGGTGTTCATTTAACTTCAGCCCTAAAGGAATCCTCTTTGGCAATTTTAAGGCAACCTGGTTTGTTGCCAGCTTTGTCTTTGTTGGAACTGAAGGGCTTCATGCAGGAGGGCCACTTCCCAGGCTTGGGTTTGAAAGGGAAACGGATAACGGTTTGAATCTGTCGTGGGGATGTGGGACTGCCAACTGTTTCTGGTTCCTAGACCTGTTGTGGAATTGGCCCAGATTCTTGCAAGCAATCCCAGAAGTGAGTTTTCACACAAAGTGCCTGCAGGTTTGCGAGACCTTTCACAAGATGGCTGAAACATTATTGTAAGTGAGCTCTTGCTGACTGGATGCAAGCTTTCTTGGGCCAGGGATGTCAAATTCGATTTCATTGAGGATTTCATTGCATCAGGTTTGTGTTTGACCTTGGGTGGCTGGGGTGGGAAGGGCCAGGGTCAATGTCACTCGTGTTGGGGCGCCTGTGGTGGCCCGAGCACTTTGCCAGCAAAACAGGCTCCCAAGCTCCGTTTTCGGCTGTGATGGCCTCCTGCAACTCTCTACCAGCCAAAACGGAGCTCCATTTTCGCTGGCAGAGGCACCATAGGTGTGTCCTTTGATGTTTCCAGGGCAGCCCCGTGGGCCAGATCTAAGCACCCTGCAGGCTGCATCCATCCCCAGGCCTTGAGTATGACCCCCCCCCCCATCTTAGGCGGTTGCTGAAATGTGATTTCAGTGATTGGAGGAGCAGCCTGGGTCTGACGGAGTGAGCTGACAGCCACAGGCCTCCTTCTTGCATCCCCTGTGCCCCCCCTCGACCTCCCTGCCCTGAAGGTCCCTTCTGCTTTCCTTTCCAGGTGTTGATGGGGAAGAGGTCGGATGACAGCGGGGACCGTGGTTATCACCGGCGGAATATTAGCAACTGTTATATTACTGTGCATTATAGCTGTTCTCTGCTACTGCAGGCTCCAGGTACTGGGTTCCTTGAGGGTATTATGTTTATTATGTTTATTATGTTTATGTTTATTATGTTTATTGTTGTTATTGTTACACTTCTATGCCTGGGATGGGGAGGGACTGTTGTTTTACAAGTGTGCTCTATTGTTTTTCTTGGGATTTGGGGGAGACCTGTTTTTATTTGGCCAGGATTTTGCATGGTCAGAAGCCAGACCAGGTTTGTGTAGGACTTCACAGAGAAGTGTGTGTGTGCATGAGAGAGTGAGCTGAGGAATGTGATTTCATACATATTTATTACATCATAAGATTTGATTCACCATCTGCACGTGTGCTCTTCCAGAGGAGCGAAGGTTTCCCTTGCCAGCTGCCAAAAATGTCTTGCGCAATTGCCAAAAGCCAAGATTTTGATGGTGAGAGTTGCTTTAGAGTGTTTCTGGCCGTCTAAGGAATGTGAAAAATTGGCATTGGCTGCTGCCCCTCACAGCCAAATGACCACATCAGAAAAAAATCAAACCCTTTCTGCGCAGAGCAACCCAAGTCATCTCCCTACTCCCTCTTCCATTTGCACAATCAGGTGGGGGAGCTGCTGAAGAGCTTGTGCAAGGCAGGGCTCCCTTTAGAACAGGGGTCTCCAACCTTGGTGATTTTAAGCCTAGTGAACTTCAATTCCCAGAATTTCACAGCCAGCTTTGCTGGGGCAGCCCCAGACCCCTCACCTGCTGCTCAGAAAACTCAAAAGAAATGGCAACTTCAAATTTCAACAAATAAATGCTCTGTCTTACATATTGGCAAAAAATAATAATCAGAAAATAAAATACAAGCTGAATAGTCAAGACCTTGTTGATGATCCAAACTCTGTCAAGGACCTTGGAATACTCATCTCTAATGATCTAAGTGCTAGAGCCCACTGTAACTACATAGCCAAAAAGGCATTAAGAGTTGTTAACCTAATCCTATGTAGCTTTTTCTCTGGTAATATCACACTACTAACTAGAGCATACAAAACATTTGCTAGACCTATGCTTGAATACAGCTCATCAGTCTGGAACCCACATTACGTATCTGATATTAGCACAGTTGAGAAAGTCCAGAAATATTTCACAAGAAGAGTTCTCCACTCCTCTACTCGTAGAATACCTTGTGCCACCAGACTTGAAATTCTAGACCTAGAAAACCTTGAATTACGCCGTCTTTGGTCTGATCTAAGTATGGTATATAAAATCATACATTGCAATGTCCTACCTGTCAATGAATACTTCAGCTTCCACCATAACAACACAAGAGCACACAATAGATACAAACTCAAGGTTAACCGCACCAAACTTGATTGCAGGAAATACGACTTCAGCAAGAGAGTGGTCAATGTCTGGAATACTCTACCTGACTCTATGGTTTCTTCTCCAAACCCCAAAAACCTTAGACTGTCTACTGTTGACCTCACCCCTTTCCTAAGAGGTCTGTAGGGGGCATGCATAAGTGCACCAACGTGCCTACCGTCCCTGTCCTATTGTTTCTTTTATTTTTCTTATACGTACCCATTTCATGTATTCATAACTATGTATATACTTACACCTATTATCTTGTACGTGATTGACAAATCAAAATAAATAAAAAATAAAATAAATAAAAGGGAAGTTCCTCAGGCGATGGATGTGAAGGGGGAAGGACAATTGCCAAATCCTTAATCCTGGAGGGCAGACTTGGAAGCAGAAGACCAAATGGTCAACCTTGGTTCAAAGGGCATTTGTACTTAACAGATTGCAGCTGGGCAGAAGAGTTTTCCAATATAATCTGGAGCTAAGAAGGCCCACTCAATGTGTTTGTTGCATTGACTCAAAGGTACTTTTTTCAAGAGGCAACTGGACTTGCTTGGTTTTTTCTGTTCAGCTTCTCATCCAAGAAGCTTCTTCAGCTCTGACAGGATGGTGGGGAAGGGAAGGATTTAGATTCCTTGCAGACAGCATATAAAAAGAATATAAATCCTTCCCTTCCCCACCATCCAGTCAGAGCTGAAGAAGCTTCTTGGATGAGAAGTGAAATGTCTTCAAAAGAAAAAACCAAGGAAGTCCAGGTGCCTCCTGAAAAAAGCACCCTTGGGACAACCATGACCTGGAGGACTGAGGATCTCTACAGACTTGTTGCATTAAGTTTCTTCTGCTGGAATCATAGAGCCAGATATTTTCGGAGAGAAGGACAAATGAGTTGGGAAGATCAGATCCTTGCTCTTCTTTGTGGCCTTTGCAACTCACATCTGAGGCAGAGCTTAGGATGAAGCTGAAGGCAACATCACATATGGCCAAAGGTGCGGCTTGTGCCTGCTGAGCAATCCGGATGGCTCGGCTTAGGCGAGGGATCAAAAAGAGACGGTTCCCAAGCCAGCTCTATTTAAGTGGCTCTCACCTTAGCCAAGACAACAGAAGGCCCAGTGTGATCCCTGGGAAGACCACAGAATGCGGTCAGCAGTTAATAGCAAATCCCGGAGAAGGATGTGGAATAAATCGTACTCAACGAGTAGCCCTTAATGGGTCTAAGTCTAGATGGAGGGAAGTAAGCACTGGGGTGCCACAAGGTTCCGTCTTAGGCCCAGGACTCTTCAATATCTTCATTAACGACTTAGATGAGGGAATAGAAGGGGAACTTACCAAATTTGCAGATGATACTAAACAGGCAGGAACAGCTAACACCGAAGAAGATAGGCTCAAGATCCAGATGGATCTTGACAGACTTGAACACGGGGCCCTATCTAACAAAATGAAATTCAACGTAGAGAAAAGTGAAGTCCTACACTTAGGCAAGAAAAACCAAAAGTACACATATAGATTGGGTGAAACCAGGTTCAATAGCAGTAACTGTGAGAGGGATCTTGGAGTCTTAGTGGATAACCAGTTAAATATAAGCCAGCAGTGTACAACAGCAGTCAAAAACGCCAATGCAATCCTAAATTGCATTAACAGAGATATAATCAAGATCAAGGGAGATACTAATACAAAGCCTTAGTAAGGCCACACCTAGAATACTGCATGCAGTTTTGATCACCACAGTATAAAAAAAGAGGGCAGAGAAAGAGGGCAGAGAAGAGCAACCAGGATGATGAGGGAGCTGGGGGCTAAAACATATGATGAACAGTTTGTAGGAACTGGGTATGGCTAGTCTAGTGAAGAGAAGGATCCGACATGATAGCAGCCTTCCAATATTTGAGGGGCTGCCACAGAGACAGGAGGGTGTCAACCTGTTTTCCAAGGCACCCGAAGACCAGACAAGGAATAATGGATGGAAATTGAAAAAGGAGAGCTTCAACTTGGAAATAAGGAGAATTTTTCTGACAGGGAGAGCGATCAACCAATGGGATAGAAGTTGCCTTCGGAAGTTGTGGGAGCTTCACCACTGGAAGCTTTAAAGAAGACACTGGGCTGCCATCTGTCAGAAATGGTGTAGGGGTGTCCTGCTTGGGCAGGGGGTTGGACTAGATGACCTACAGGGTCCCTTCCAACTCTGTTAATCTGAATCTGAGGGCAGCAAGAACAATGTGTTGGTGGAGAATATTCGACTCCCAGACGAAGAGAGGAGAATTCACCAGGACAGAAGGGCCAAGTCGCTCTGGGAAGGCAGCTGTTCTTGTCAAGCATCTGGGGGGGGGGGGGAGGGAGGGGGGGGGCTCTAGGTCTGTGGCAGCCTTGCTGTGTCCTGCTCCAACAGAGGATCCTTATCCTCTGGAATGAATCGGCTGTTTTAAATCTGGGAGAGGCCTCTGCGTGGCCTGCAGTGCTCCCTCAGCTCCTCAGCATTCGATGCCCCTTGGGCCTTCTCTTCCACGGTGCCTTTTTGGCCCTGAGGCAAGACACCAGAGGTGGCATATTCAGCAGGTTCTGAGCAGTTCTGGAGAACCGGTAGCGGAAATTTTGAGTAGTTCGGAGAACCGGCAAATCCCATTTCTGACTGGAGATTTTACAGTATCCTTCCCCTGCCACGCCCACCAAGTCACACCCACAGAACCGGTAGTAAAAATTTTTGAATCCCACCACTGCAAGACACACAGCCTGAAATTCACTGTATGCGAGGAACATCCTCTGGCAATGATAACTTAGAATCCAGCAATCAGAACAATAAGCTCAGCATGTGGAAATCGTGTTGATGCCCAAAGCAGCAAGATCTGTCCCATGGCCAGGGGAGGCCTCCAGCAGTAAAGAGGACCTTCACTCCACCACAGAGAGATGCTGCAGGAGATTCGATCTCCCAGAGTTGAACTTAAGAATGGGGAGGATCCTGGGACGTGGTCCCCAAATATGAAATGTGAGGCCCTCTGGCTGCAGAAGCCAGAGAGCCTCTCTTCAGGTGCTTTGCTGGGAGTCTTGCCTTGCCAGGCTTGGCCTTCAAGACTGGAGTGGCTGGGGGCATGGCGGGCACCAAGGACCTTGCCCTGAATGCATTTAAATCTGAGATTGGAGCCAGATCAACCCATATAAATTGATAGGTAATCTGTTCACACACTTGGACCATGGCATCAGAGGTGGTATTCAGCCAGTTCGGACAGGTTCTGGCTTACCGGTAGCAAAATTTTTGATTGATTCAGAGAACTGGCAAATACCACATCTGGCTGGCCCCGCCTAGCCATGGTTACCTATCCTATATTTCCTTGCACAGCTGATTGCGGCACCTCAGCTGAGCTTAAGGACACTTCAGGCAGCTATCCAGCCGTGACAGAGCTCCGTATTTGTGCCCTCTGCATGCACACAAAGCACACATATGGAACTACTAGGGAACCATTTGGAAACCTACCACCGCATTTGTTCTTTCATGGCAAGTTTATTGGTTTCAGAAGTTGTAGGTGCTCCATCACTGGAGGTTTTCAAGAAGAGACTTTACACCCATTTGTCCAGAATGGTATAGGGCTTCCAGACTGAGCAGGGGGTTGGACTAGAAGACCTCCAAGGCCCCTTCCAACCCTTTTATTCTGTGTCAGAGTCTCACAGCCTTTCATGAAGTAGTCAGATTACATAACAGATTAACAGTTGGAAGGGACATTTTAGGTCATCTAGTCCAACCCCCCCTGCCCAAGCAAGGAGACCCTACACCGTTTCTGACAGAGGGCAGTCCAATCTCTTCTTGAAAGTCTCAAGTCTCAAGAGTAGCCAATGCCTGGAATACTCTACCTGACTATGGTTTCTTCCCCAAACCCCAAAAACTTTAATCTTAGACTGTCTTCTATTGACCTCACCCCTTTCCTAAGAGGCCTGTAGGGGCGTGCATAAGCGCACCAACATGCCTACCCTCCCTGTCCTATTGTTTCTTTTATATTTTTTTATTTTTCTTATATACTTATACTTATTATTTTGTAAGCAATTGACAAATAAAAATAAATAAACAAATAAAATAAATAAAAGTGATGAAGCTGCCACAACTTCTGAAGGCAACTTCTCTTCCATGGGTTGATTGCTCTCACTGTCAGAAAATTCCTCCTTATTTCCAGGCTGAATCTCCTTGATCAGTTTCCATCCATTATTCCTTGTCTGGCCTTCGGATGCCTTGGAAAATAACTTGACCCCCCGCCCCCTCTTTGTGGCAACCCCTCAAATATTGGAAGGCGGCTATCCTGCCTCCCCTGGTCCTTCAATAGACTAGTCATGCCCAGTTCCTGTAACTGTTCATTGTATGTTTTAGTCTCTGAGCATGGGCAAATTCCAAAGGGGGAAAATTAGGAATGAAGCTGCAGGAGACAAAAGACTTGAAAAATGTTAAGAAAAAAAAAACCAAAGCAAATGTTTAGCACTACAGGAAACCCACTGATGTGCTGCGCATAATGCAGAAGTTTACCAAAGTTTTTTTGGGTGGGAAGGGGAGCAAAGGATCAACTGCAGGGAAGTCCAAATATCCAAGGACTGAAGAACTGGGTACCCAACAGGAAGGCAAAACACAAAAAAAAATCCCAAATGTTCCAAGTTGGAACATTCCCAAGGAGGATTCTTGGGGTGTATTTTCTTATATTCCTCATTTGCTCATTCATTGACTGCTCATCCAGTTTTGGTCACCACACTATAACAAAAATGCTGAAACTCTGGAAAGAGGGAGAGAAGAGCAACCAGGATGTTGAGGGGACTGGAGGCTAAAACATACGATGAACAGTTGCAGGAACTGGGCTTGGCTAGTCCAGGGAAGAGAAGGACCAGGGGAGACAGGAGAGCATCTTCCAATATTTGAGGGGCTGCCACAGAGAGGAGGAGGGAGTCAAGCTATTCTCCAAGGCACCTGAAGGCCAGACAAGCACTAATGGATGGAAACTGATCCAGGAGAGATTCAACCTAGAAATAAGGAGGAATTTCCTGATAGGGAGAACCATCAACCCATGGAACTTGCTTTCTGTTTTATAATAGGCTGCGCTTCTTTAAAATGTCTGTCACAGTGTCAGCGTTGTGTGATTGTGGATTCTTACAAACCAAGCCAGAGTCTGCTTATCCAAGTTGAGTGCACCAAGTTCACACGTGGTAGAAACTGCGGTTTGCAAATACCAGCGGCCGAGTTGCCCGTTGCGGCAAGGCCAGTCCAAACCGGCTGCCTTCCCCATGTGTGAACCAGCTGCCCTGGAAGGGTTTCTGGGAGGGCCGCAGAGAAGCATCTCTTGGCCTGGGGAAGGAGTGGTGGCCCACGGAAATGGTTTCTCTCTTCCAGTATTATTGTTGCAAGAAGGATGAGTCGGAAGAGGACGGCGATGAGCCCGACTTCCCTGCGGATTCGCACATCCCGCCCCTGCACTGCAACCGTAACGTGGCTCTGACCAACGGCCCCTCCTTGTACCGCTCCCCCTACAAGAAGCCCTCCCAGTCCCGGACTGGCTGCCCCAGCTGCTCCCAGTATGAGCCTCCAACGTTCTTCCTGCAGGAGCCCGAAGAGGAGGTCCGCAATGGGGGCGACCTGGTCAACTACAAGGCCATTAGCCAAGAAGACTTGGAGCTGCCCATTGGCCTGAGTGGTGGCCTCCAGGCCCTCAACCCCAACCGGCTCTCTGCCATGCGCGAAGCCTTCTCCCGCAGCCGCAGCATCAGCACGGATGTCTGACTGGCCTGGTTGAAGAGGCCCTGTCTCCCCCTCGGCTCGCCAAAGGCTGAAGACCACTTCTGCTTCCCAACCTCTTCCTCTCTCGTCTTGTTTTCTAAACCCCAGTAAAAGCCGCTCTTCCTTCCTTCCTTCCTTCCTTCCTTCCTTCCTTCCTTCCTTCCTTCCTTCCTTCCTTCCTTCCTTCCTTCCTGTAGATGAGGTTTTTGATACAGGACATCCTTTTGTATAAATATGCAACCTGGTTTGCCACTCTTCAGCCTGCTGCAAGCTGTGGCCTCTGCTTTCCCTGATGGGTGGGGGTGGGGAAGAAGGCTGGAACTAAGCCAGAGCCAGGTGTTTTTGCAAATTGTTTAATGCAAATCCAAATTAGCTCCCTCTTCTCTGCAGTGTCCCCACTGTACATTCGGTCCACTCTACAAAAGCCTCACAACCGGTGTCCCCCCCACCTCGAGGGAGGCCCTTCCTTCCCCTGGTTGCTGCCAAAGAGGTATTTTTAATGACAGAAGAAACATAGCAGGCACCTGGTCAGCACTGGTCAGTCCACTATGTCCAACTGAGATGAGCTCAGCTTTAGTCTCTTTTTTGTTGCTCGGTGAGGGAGGAGGGCTGCCGAGGACCATGAAGGTGTTCGGTTGGCATTGGGGGGAGGGGGGGCAGGACTTCCCCATTTTGAACAGTGGTGTTGCCCGCTGCAGGACTTCCTCTATCTCACCAGAGGGTTTTGCCAGCCAAGCCAGAGGCGACTCTGCTGTGAGCTGGGCCTCTTGGGCTTTGTCCCCCATCCCAGCTTCCCCTCTGGAGTGTCCAGGAGGCAGACGCAGAGGGATGCAGAGCACAAGGCAGTTCTGCAAGGACAGGGCATTCCTTTTCTTTGGACAAAAAAGGCTGCAGCTTGGAGCTCCCAGCAGTAAAATTTAGTGCAGCGACATTCACAGTGGCAGCCTGTTAGAGAAGGCAGTTTCCCTCAACCTGCTTCCAGGCAAGCGGGGTCTGTCTGTCTGTCTGGGGTGTCAGCAGGGAGATAAGACTTAAAAGACAGCAGGACAGGCAGCCTTCAGAGATAAAGACGGCTAGAGACCTGAGATAAAGACGGCTAGTCCACCCCACTGCTCCCCCAGGCCTTTGGGTCTGGAGGCAGCAGTGGGATGGAGACTGACCCATAGGGCCCGGAGGAAAATGGTTCCCCTCCCTGCGGGATCTGACTGCATCCAGGAAGCTTGTAAAACTGGCACTCACGAGTTACGTGCTGGGGACGATGGAAATGCGACCTGTAGGAAGAACAGTTTGAGTTGGGCCCTTTGAGTCCAGCCTTTTCAAACTCCTCTGGAAGCGGGCACAGGGCATGAGAGCCCAAGAGGCCAAGGGCCATCTTACAAGCAGCAGAAATGGGTTCAGAGACGAGTCAATAGCGTCACTGACCCAGGTGGATTTTTTTCCATCTAATTTGAAATTAATGTTCACGTCTTGCTTTGGCTGCATCCAATAAAATGCATTCATGTTGGTCTTCAGTGATCTGTACTAGTTGCTGCTTCCACAAAACTATTTTGTATAATTCTTAAAAATTTGTATTGGTTTCAGTGGCACTCTTAAAAATGCTACAATTTGTTGCTTATAAGTATGCCTATTTATTTTTCCCCTTTATATATATTTGAAATAAATTCAAACAATTTCATGAATTTTCATTTACCTTTACTTGTGATAAACATGTACAGGACTTCTGGATTCCGAAAATAATAATAATAATAAAAAACTTATCTTGACTTGTCACCAAATGAAGTGTTTCTTTCATGGTATTTAAGAAAATTCTTTCACATCTTTAAGAAAAGGGGGGAGGGGAATACACCAGCAGGGAGGGGGGAAAAAGGGGGGGACTCTTTTAAAACTGGGGATTTAAGAAATGGGGGCACCAATTTCTCTTTTTAAAATTCCCACCTTTCCCCCCCAAACCTGGCCCTCCCACCCTCTGGAATTTAGCATTGAGATGCCACACCTGCTGAGCATGGAGCCCCTTCCTTTGGCATCTCCTCTAGACAGATTCCTTCTCTTCTTTTGAATTGAATTGAATAGTCTATTTGGCCAAGTTTGATTAGAAACACAATACAATTAATAATAATAATAATAATAATAATAATAATAATAATAATAATAATAATAATAATAATAATAATAATAATATAATAATAATG